TTGACCGCGTAGCTCAGTTGGAAGAGCATTGGGCTAGTATTCCAAAGGTCGTAGGTTCGAATCCCACCGTGGCCGGGCATATTTTTCAAGCTCGCCCGGTGTGGATATACACTCAGAGTAACACCACAAATATTATGGAGGATCTGTTGGTAACTCTTCATTCAGTTTTTCTAGATCCAGTGTGGTTTCCTACAACTGCCTTAATCCTTTATGAATGTGCTGTTCATATGAGTGCAAATTATAGACAGGAGGAAGCAAAACGCCTCTTGAACTTTGCGTATCGTATATTAGACTGGGTTCCTGTAGCAGAGTATGAAACGGTAAAATATAGCGTTTCGCATAATTCCTTGTTTCCACTTTCTATTCCTTTATCGAAATCAATTCAGATTTTGGTTAAACGATGTTGTATGCCTCCTTTTGTTTCACTTGCACCGCTGACTGAAAAACCTAGTTCTGATGCTAGTTGTCTTGATGTAGACGATTTGGAAGAGAAATTGGAGAAATTGAAGTTCGATGGAAACAAGAGTTTCAAGGAGGGTCGCTACAACGAAGCATTAGATGCCTATTCTTCTGCAATAGATTTGGCTCAAGAGTGCAATAATGCTTTCAATCCCTTGTTGCTTACTAACCGTGCGACAGTTTACATAAAATTAGGGCAATACGAAGATGCTTTAAAAGATGCGAATGATTACATAACGCGTCGTCCAGATTGCTGGAAGGGTTATGCTAGAAAGGCTCTGGCACTTGATGGCTTGAATGAGAAAGTCAGTGCTGAAATAGCTGCTGCTTTAGCTTTTTATCAAAACAGGGCTATATTCTCAGATTATTCTACATTCGGAAAATTTTTCTTTGATTTGCAGAAGCGCATTTTTGTATGCGATACTGTGGATCAACTCATTTCGAACGCTCTGCCTTCTCAGAAAGTAGAAACAAACTTGCTAACAATTCTTGTACTCGGTTCGAAAGATTATGTCTTAATTTCTGATATGGTTGGTCGTGTTATAGTTTTGAGTAACTGTATTCTAGTTGGTGCAAGGATAAACTGTTCCGTTCTTCTGACGTTCGGAGGTAATACAAGCATTTTCGTGAATAGTAAGTGCATGATTACCAATCTTTCGTTTTACTTGGAAGAGGGTCAGTTTTCTTGTCAGTTAGGTTCATTGGTCAAAGTCATCAACTGCAATTTTACCGGCAAAGGTAATGACGGGCCTATTGTTCATAGTGAGGGTGAATTTAATGCCGAAAGTTGTAATTTTTCAAACGGCAACAATGCTGGGTTGGGATGTTCTAGACCAGGTAATATGGTTGTCGTCGAGTGTTCCTTTTGTAACAGTGGGAAAGTTGGTTTAGTAGTGTGGGACGGCGGAACGTTGAATTTGAAAAGCAGTCGCATGTATAACAATCGTGGGCATGGGTGCCAAATTGGACCCGAAGCATCAAAGTGTGTCGTAGTTAATTGTGATATTTACCACAGTGACGAAGACGGAATCGCTATCGATCGCTCAAAGAATGTCAAGATTATGCGTAATAACGTTTACGGCAATAATTGTTCTGGATTATCGATGATAAGCTCTGAGGTGAATATCAGAGAGAACAATATTTTTGACAACGGTTTGTGGGGAATTTGGGCCTGGAGCAATTCATGGTGCAATGTATCGATGAATAAAGTTTTTCGCAACAAAGCTGGGGGAGTACGTGTGGGATATCGAGCTGCAGGGGAAGAGTTTTCTCCATCTGTCGTCGAACTAAATAAAATTTATGACAATATTGGTCCTGGATTTGTTGAAAATATAAGGAAATTTGAAGTAGATGGAAGGCCTAGCACAAACGTTGGTTTAAGGAAGTCGTGTTTCAAGTCTCCCAATTCCCTTCAATCCGCAAAATTCCAGGATAACGAAGTATACAATAACAAAGAAAGTAAAAACGTGAATAAATTGAATTTTTCCGTTCTATATTGCTCTAATTGTCGTAAGAAGTGCGAACCGAACAGGTGTGGAAAGTGCTTTGCTGCTGTGTATTGCAACAAAACTTGCCTAGACGGCCATTGGTCGAAGCATAAGAAAATATGCAAGGTTTTACGTGAAAAGGCGAGCTTTCTAATCACTTCGATGAAAAGGGTTGGTGGTGATGGTATGATTAAACGTCATGCGAAAGGCCTAGAAGAAATTGGTCCTGAGTTCAGTCCTCCACCACCACGAGATGGCAAGAGATTTGTTGTAAAAGTACAGTCTAGTATACCGAATATAAAGGATATAAAGCCGCACTCTCTTCTACTTTACGATCGCAGTCTTGAACTTTACGAGGAAATCCAGTCGAAAGTTATTGCTAAACTCGTGCAAGAGTTTGGTATACAATGTGAAAGGCAAATTGTGGAGAAGAAACTTTTCTTGCATTGCTTGTTTGAAAAGAACGGACAGCTCCGACTGTTCATTAATGAATTTGCCGATTTTCTAAAATGGTAATTAATGAATAATAAAGCCAAATACAATGATGGTGTGAACATCCGCAAACGTAATAACAATTGCGAGTCGAAAAAACTGAAATGGTCATACAATATAATGTTAAGTACTTGAAATGGCAGCCGAACATTCTCGCACCGAAAGCCTTTCTTACGCGTGGTCAACGGAGGGCAAAGAGGGGCTCTGGGAAGAACCGTATCCACGAGGCATCTGCATGGCCACATCGAAGGTTATATACCGGGTGGCGCAAAAAAAAGTTAACCTGTTTGATTTGTTTTAACTTAAAAGCTAAAAGAGCTATTACACGTAAACTACGTGCATTGCATTCAGTATTGTCTAACTTAAATTTTGATAAACGCCATGTGCATTTTCGTGCAATATTGACCCAGAGAGCTGCGTTTAAACTTGAGTAACCATTTTTGAAAGTGTCGAGAATTAGCCAAAAACGGCCTATCAAATATTTAATACAGCAATAACCTGTGCTTAGATGCTATAGTCTGCAGAATAAAGTACACGTTCGTTGTCAGAGACCTGCGCAACGCCGCCGGTATAACCTCACGAGTATTACTTAGCCTACCCTTGCATATTCTAAACATATCGAAACTCTTTGGACCTTCATTAAACGAGGCGTATTTATACAAAAACAGCTGACGTTTCTTTCTTGGAACATTAGAATTTGATTCCCCAGGGTCATTGAATATTTAGAATAAATCTTTTAAAATCAAAATCGCTTCATAATTTAATTTTCATGCATTCCCAAAGACCTTAAACAAAAATAAAGGAGCACATTCATCCAATAAACATTTTAAATTTAAACTTCACTTCGTTGAAACGAATATTCACGATAAAATGGTAACGGTTATCAAATTAGTTTAACAGGCTGTTTTTAGCTGATTCTCGACACTTCCCAAAATGTTTATTCAAGTTTAAACGCAGCTCTCTTGGTCAATATTGCACGAAATTGCACAGGGCGTATATCAAAATTTAAGTTTAACAATACTGAATGCAATGCATGTAGTTTAGGTGTAATAGCTCTTTTAGTTTTTAAGTTAAAATAAATCAAACAGGTTAACTTTTTTTTGCGCCACCCGGTATGTAATACCGAATACATTCGTTTTGAACTTTTGACAGGTTTCCAGTCTGTCAGAACATGTCAAAATGGCGCTTTTTATACCACTTAGAGAACCAACCGCATGGAGTTATAGCTACATGGTGGGCGTGTGTTCTGCACGTGCTGTATAATTACAGAAATAACAACACAGAAACATTTCCAAGTATGTTAATAATAATAGGCCGCGTTTTCACTTTTACGCTACGGAAAATTTACTGTAGCGTACGATTTGCATCCGGAGTGGCAAGCGCGGTGGTCCGTAGTTGGTTTGCTACGGCAAACTACCCTGTTATAGTATAAACACAATACTAAGGGCAGTTTTCCAGTTGAAGCATACCGTACCGGAACGTAGAAAAAATTAAAAATTTCGTTTTAGTGAATGTTGATTGATTAATACTTCCGTAGTACGCCAAAAAGTTGACTAATTGCGACGAACTTTTCATTTTTATACGCGAATATTTTCAACTTTTCAACCTCTTTTCAATTTACGCATGCTCTCCAGTACGTTTTGATACGGTACGCTTATGTAGTGCCACTACATAACCCGCGAACAGGCATACTCTGGGAACGTGATTGCGCTTGAAGTGGAAAACTGCCTTAAGAAACGTAGTGAATTCTTAACGGAATTATTCGCATTCTGAGTGGCATAATTGGTACACTACGCCAAACCACTTCGGTATAGTGTAAACACAATACTAAGAACGTAGTGAATTTTTTAACGGAAGCTAACCGTAGCGTTTTTACGTAAACGCGGCATAGTGTTTGTGAAATCAAACTATTACTGTATTTTTACAATTGCTAAGTTTATTTGACTTGAACTGTTGCAATTCCCAGGTTTATTCTCAGAATATAAGCAATAGTCAATACATTATTAATGATTTTATGCATGGGGCTTATTGGGGCGCGAAACGTTCATTATTTTTTTAATTAAAAGATATGTATACCAAATAACTCAAAATGTTGTAACGCTTCTAAATATTTGGCCTGAAAATTTAAAATAGGATCAAAGTTATATCGTTCTGTGAAAATCGAAAAGTCGCGTCGCGTTGTCGAATCGCGTCCGGTGTGTATGGACCATTATTCGTGCATGTGTTCGAGCATGCGCTTTGTTTAAACGGTTCCGCAGGGGAGGGAGTTGATTGACGATTTATGCTAATGTTATTAAAATATACATGTTTGGTTATTTTTGAGAATTTCGCTCACACCCACTCTCCTACCCAGAGCCCTTCTTACGCGTGGAATGTCCTGAAATCCCATATGGCTGTATCTTGATCAATATTTGACCCAATTAACATCAAACTTTGAGATTTTGTAAAGATCAATGGGCTCTTTCTTATTGTGTGAGCCTTGTGTTGATTTTCACAACATTTATGGACTCGTACCCAGGCTCTCTCGGGTTGAAAGTAGTCAATGCCCATCATGCTTGCGAGCAGGACTCGGAGTCACGTGCGAGGCATTCTGTCGTTTTAATTTGCCCAAACTCTCCGCGATACACTTCCGTGCATGTTATTTCGGTATAAATTGATCGCATAAGAATACTATTTTGTATCGGTGATGTAGAACATCATTGAGAGTAATAGCCAGAAAGCTTGGTCAGCTGAAAAATGCTTGCTAGGATTAAGTCGAAACGATAACGCCGTGAACTTCGAGGATTCAAGGAGGAGGGTAGCTTAATAAATTTCTTCCTTTAAAGCGGGGGGGGGGCACTTATTCGAGAGGAGGATTTGCGATAAAATATGGATCATATGCGTCCAAGCTTGACAGCAGATATTCGTGTCTCCTCTGGATGTGTTTGTCGAGTTTATTTACTTTGCGACTCCCATAATGGGGTGTGCGGTACACATGACAAATGAGGATGCGAGAATGTTCTTGTAAGAGTAATAAAAAGGCCCTAAGCCAGTGCTGTAAGTAACGTCCTTACTAGTAACGAAATCACAAGAATCATTACTTTTTTAAGTAACTCTAACTGCATGCAACTAGTTACACTTACATTTTGGTTTAAAATGGAACGATAACGCGTTACTTTTCTGACCAACGTTTACGTTACTTTTTTCGTTACATTTTCACATTAAAATATAAATTTACGTGGTGTTTCCACAAACAAAACTATTATAAAATATAGTACTTGCTACTTTGTTTATACTATCAAAAATTATTATGTTAATGTGGTCGATAAACTGATTCACTGTACAGTAACTCCCCCGCCTATTGGCCGGCTTCCTGTTGGGTTATCCTATATTCGTTACAGTAATTTAATTACACTCGATGTCAATGTAATAGACAAGTTCCAAAAAATTAAATAACTTTTTAACTAGTTACAAAAAACGTGAAGTAATTTTGTAACGGTAACTAGTTACATTTTTTATGGCATAGTACAAAACATGGACTGGATGGACTGGACAGTTGGACTGGACAGTTGGACTGGACTGGACAGTTGGACTGGACTGGACTGGACTGATTTTTACATTTTCTCTATTCTTGACTTGCACGTCACCCGCCATGTCAGATGGCATGGCACAAAAGAATATTTTATCACAGAATAGATATACCATGTCATGTCTATTTTGTGATTTTATCAATCGGAACATTGTCTGGTGTGTACCAGGAGGAGATTGGTTGCAAGTCAAGAATATAACGTTTTGTACCTGAATTACTTTTGATTTTCGGAAATTGAAATATTTTACCTTCGCCGATGACCTCACTTTATAACTGGAGTGAAATCTCAGTAAGAAACCCCAGTAAGTAGAAGAGTATACAATACCAGACATAAACTACTTATCTGTCTTTGCTATGGGTAGCCTGCTCGCATACGTATTAAATTTCGATATTTCAGTCTGCATG